CTGAATGTTAACAGAAAGAAAGCAGCTCCACCTACTGGAGGAAATCAGTTACTGTGTCCAGAAAAGTCGAACGTGAAGCCTCGTGTGTAACTGACAGACACAAGATGAGCTGATCCTAAACATTCTCAGACAGTTCAGAATCAGTAATGAGTAAAACAACACTCAGCGAATAAGTTTAAATGACTTTAGCTTGTACACCATGTCTTCTCAGTGACTGAAGCAGAAGTAATGTAGTGCAAGTGAAAGTAAATAGAGTTGTTGTTTTTCTTCACCCTTAAATATGTAATTACTTCGACCCACATTTATCCATCATTATAATTTTATTATTATTATTTTATAATATTATATTGTTTTGAGACATCCATACAATATTTGTCTTGAATTACTAATATAATATAATTATATAATATATAATATGATAATTCTGTGATGGCTATAAAATTATGAAGTTGTCTCTTTGAATCAGGGATTTTGCTAAATGTCATTTTTCATCTTTACTCAGCGAATAAGTTTAAATGACTTTAGCTTGTACACCATGTCTTCTCAGTGACTGAAGCAGAAGTAATGTAGTGCAAGTGAAAGTAAATAGAGTTGTTGTTTTTCTTCACCCTTAAATATGTAATTACTTCGACCCACATTTATCCATCATTATAATTTTATTATTATTATTTTATAATATTATATTGTTTTGAGACATCCATACAATATTTGTCTTGAATTACTAATATAATATAATTATATAATATATAATATGATAATTCCGTGATGGCTATAAAATTATGAAGTTGTCTCTTTGAATCAGGGATTTTGCTAAATGTCATTTTTCATCTTTATGCTCACACCTGTACAGTATGTGCACTCGAAACACCTGACGCAACGCTCACTATCATGTACTCCTCACATAGTGAACTTGCTGTTCCATAAATGCACACATTCTCCAGCCGGGACATTTTCCATTCAGATTCCGCGGCTCTGATTGGTCGAGGCGCCTCCTGCGCTGCTGCGTGAGTCACGGTGGGCGGGGCCTGTGCGTCGGGCGTTCTCGAACAAACGGCGGAAGCGGCGGAGTGTCACCGGGCAGCGTTCGCGCATTAAACGTCTAAAACACAACGAGAACCATGAAGATCTGGACGTCGGAGCACGTTTTCAAGTGAGTGAAGGTCTTGTTTGTCGTATTATTGCTGTGGAGTGATCACGTGAGCGGGTTTTTGAGGGAAACGCGCGCCAATGCGTCCAACGGCTTCCTGTCAGCTTATTAAAAATGTTTTTTTAATCTTAACTGTATTTATCCGGTTCTCATGAGGTAATATCAGAGCACCAAACGCGTTAGTGATGTAAAAGTTGATTTAGTGACTACTTACATGCTAATGCAGTCAGTCAGAATGTGCAGTGAATGACTTTCATCGACAAAACTGAAGATTAATCACTAAAGATGAATAATTATAACTAAATACTGCAGCTAAAATGCTCAAGTTGTGTCCCAAATGACGCACTATGCACTCATAAACTATGTACTTATGCGCTATGTACTCAACCATGTGTAGTATGAATTATATAAGGTTATTTTTTCATTCATAATCGGAGTCTCATATCTCCTCCCCTTCGGTACGTAATTAAAGCTGCGACAGTTGAGTGCATGAAGTGTCCAACGTTCCACACTTCATTTTTTCGGCTATTTAAGTGCATCATCCGGGTATTTAGAGTGCACTTTAATTTTGGAATTTTCAGTGTGAACGCACTACTTTCTCTATTTATACTACAAAACGTCATAGAATAGTGCATAAGTACGCGATCTGAGACGCACCTTCAGTGTTTGCTGAATGAATGAGATAAACAGTTGTGAGCTACTAGCGGGTTAGTTACACAATCTAACCGGCACCTAAAAGACTAGTAAAGAATGACAGATAGTGAGTTCGGCTTCACAGATTTGGATCCTCTTTTCAGTTTGTGTGGAATAAAGGTTCGATTTCATCCGTTTCAATCCGAATTATTCTACAGAGGTGTCAGTAGTGGTTTTGGGTTACACTGGGTCAGTAGGACATGCAGCTCACTTTGCCCGAGTAGGTTGGTTAGTGTTAAATGATATCTGTGGTGGACACTGACTGATGACAGGCTGAAGAAATGGGTGAAATACAGAAGTTCAGGTGAATGCGTGACCTTTGACCCCACGTGTCATGGCAGCTGTTTATTGATTCTTTAGTGACTGTCGAACACGACTGAATGAATTCAAGGCGACACAGAGTAGGCTATTCGTTAAAGCAGACCTAAGGCCTTGAAATATGACGTACTGTATGCAAGAAAATCAATGAAAAAACCCCTGAGAAAATCTAAATATTTACAGATGACTGTTCTATATACCAAATATAAAGCTTAAAATAATGCTGTATGAACCATTTATGATAAATATGGGGGGGGGGGGGGT